ACATATTAGTGGATTAGAAAAATTAATATTATTATTGTTGTTAGGTATCTTCATTTAAGTTAACTATTACTCATAGTGACACTATGAAAAACAGACACAAAGCTTGTTGTATCTAGTACCATCCTCATGCTTTCCAATATACCTGAGCCCATTCTTACACTCATTGTATTAATTCATCTTGTTGAGGGTCTTCCTTTCTTCCTCTGACTCTCCAACTTCCCAAGCCTTTACTTAATAATTTATTTCAGCATGACTTTATTTGGATATGGTATTGTTTCTTTATTTCCACATTTTTTTTCATAATTTTACTTTCACGGGAACAAAACTAGATGTCTTCCAGTAAACTGACCCAGAAAGTGTCCAAATTTGTTGGCACAGGCTAGTGAGCACATTTGCACCTGTTTGCTGAAACATGTCAATTGGTATCCCCTCAGTTCCAAGATTCTTATTTTTTATCAATACCTTCAATGCAGCTTGAACTTTTTCATTCATTATCATTGGCTCTTGATAACAGCCTACTTCCTTAAATGGCTCAGTATTGACCAAGTCTTTTATTGTTATTATTATTATTTTATACTAACTTGTTTACATTGTGTTTTATTCGTGTACTTTTTATTTTTTATTGAGCTCACTCTCTCAACTCACCAATATCTACTATGAACATAGATGAAAAAATCCTTAACAAAGTCCTGGATAATAGAATCCAACAGCACATTTAAAAAAAAAGTTCATCATGAGCAAGTAGGATTCATAGCAGGTGTGTAAGGATGGTTCAACATAAGAAAAACAATTATCATATTTCACCACATTGTTTTTGTTGCTGTTGTTGTTGTTGTTATGTGCCTTCGAGTCGCTTGCTGCTCATAGCGACCCTATGTACAACAGCCCTAAACTCTGCTCCGTCCTGTGCCAATCGCACTGTCTCTGACACTCCCATCCCTATTACCCCAGTCACTCAATCAATCCACTTCATAGAGGGCCTTCCCCTCCTGCGCTGTCCCTCCACCCTCCCAAGCATGATGTTCCTCTCCAAGGACTGGTCTCTCCTTACAACATGTCCAAAGTATGTTAGACAGAGCCTCAGAATCCTTGCCTTCAAGGAGCCTTCCGGTTAACAAAGCAAATAACAAGAACCACATGATCCTAGTGATTGATGCAGAAAATGCGTTTGATAAAATTGAACACCCTTTCCTGATTAAAATATTCAGCAAAATATTAATAGAAGGGAATTTCCTCAACATTGTGAAAAACTTAGAACCAATATAATTCTCAATGGAGAAAGCCTAAAGCGTTCTCCCTGTGAACAGGGACCAGAAAAGGATGCCCACTGTCACCACTCTTAGGACAATACAACATAGAAAGAAATAAAAGGCAACTAGATCTACAAAGAGGTGGTCAAACTGTCACTATATGTAGATGATATGATACTGTACACAGAAAACCCCAAGAATTCAACAACAACAGTAACAAACCCCCCCAAAACCCAAACTAACCCCAAAGCCTGGCAAGTAACATAGTTTTTTTAAAATACTAGGTTTTAAAATTTATAATTCAAATAGTAAAGAAAATTATTTTTAAATGTGAAAATAATCTATAATCCTACTCTCCATGGTAACTCTTTTAAAAAATTGTTATCATGACAATGTAGGTACTTTCCATTTAAACATTTTTGGGTTCAATTCAGTGAGTTCAGTTCTATTAACTTATATCATTTATGTAAACATTGCCAAAAATTTCAACCTAATAAATAAACTTCAATCTTAATAGATTGTCAATATAACTAGGCTCCTTAAATAAATCTACAAATTTAAGGTGATTCCTAGCAAAATCCCAAGAACTTTATTTGCTGAATTTGAAAAGCAGTCCTTAAATCTATATGGAACTACAAAGGCATTCCAAATAATTAAAGACAATTTTAGAAAAGAAGAACAGAGTAGAGAATTCTTTTTCCCTATCTCAAAATAACATAAAGCTACACTAATCAAAAAGTCTGGTACTGATAACATAATCTCCTTTTTGTTATCAATCAGGAGAAAGGATGAAAGTTATACAAGTGTTCAGGTCTTTCATTCATAGGGTCGCTATGAATTGCCTACAAATCGATGGCACTTAACAACAACAACAACAACAATTTACCTTAATTGTTTTACCTTTATAACATGGTTTAATATGACTTGTGTTCTTGTTCTCACATTGTTTGTTTTTGTTTGATTTTTTTTCCCTTTCAGAAGTATCTTGACCAGGTATATTTTATTTTTCAAATAAACTTCCTTTCTACTTTTGACTACACAAACCCTTTTGACTGAGTGGGTCACAACAAATTATAGTTAATAGTGATAAGAATTGGGATTGCAGAACACATAATTGTGCTCACATTAAATTTCTACCTATACCAAAAGGTTATTATTTGAACAGAGCAAAGCAACACTGCCTGGCTTAAAATCATAAAAAGTTGGGTTTCAGATATATACCCTTTCTCCATACCTATCCAATCTGTAAGCTGAAAACAGGTCATTCAGGAAGCTGAACATTAAGTATAGAACGTGGCATCAAAATTGGAGGAAGGCTCATCAACAACCTCCATTACACAAATGGACTACCCAAAGAACAAATAAGTCTTGGGGAAAAGTGCAACCAGGGTGCTTTTGGGAAGCAAGGATAATGAAACTCCATGTCACATAGTAATGTGGGCATGTTGTTAGCAGAGGATAGACCTTGCAAAAGGATATGACTCTTGAAAAGGTGGTAGGTCAAGGAAAGAGAGGAACCCTGCTTGCAAAAGTGAAGAGGAATTAAAATGCTTCCTACAGATGATCAAAGACTATTGACTTTATATGGGCTACATCTCACCTTCAAGAAAACAAAAAATCCTGACTATTGAACCAATAAGTAACATCATAATAGTTGCAGAAATTATCGATGTTGTTAATGATATAATTTTACATGGATCCACAAAATGTCTGGAACAGCAGTCAAGAAATCAAAAGATGTGCTGCTTTTGAAAAATATGCTGTCAAGTATCTTGCCACAGTAATGAAGAGCAATAATCTGAGTTTAAAGACTAAGGTGTATCTGATAGAATTCATGGTCTTTTAAATTATTTGCTATGCATCTGAAAGTTGCACACTGATGAATGATGACAAAAGAAGAATGTGCCTTAGTGGTAATGTTGGAGAAGAAAATGGAACATCCCGTGTACTGCCAAAGAAACAAATAAACACATCTTGTGAAAAGTGCAACCAGGGTTCTTTTATGAGATAAGGATAGTGAAACTCTGTCTCACATATTTTGAGCATGTTATTAGGTGGGGCCAGTCCTTGGAAAAGACATAATATTTGGAAAGGAATCAGGATCAGGGAAAGAGAGGAAGACCCTCGACAAGATGGATTGATACAGTGACTGTAACAATGGGCTCAAGTATATTAGAGCTGGCGAGAACAACACAGGAGAGGGTAGAGTTTAAATCCTTGGTTCATAGAGTCCATGAGTTGTAGCCAACTAGGCAGCATAAAACATTTTTATTCAGTAAATACATATTCAATTTTTATTTGATAAGAACTACCTTAAATCTGTAAATTATTTAGGATAGATGAGCCAAAGTTTCACTTTCAACTCAATATTACTGTCACTCTACACATTATCACACAGTGTGATCACATAATTGTGTTTTCAATTATCTATTGCAATTCCTGATGACTGTGTAATTTTTATGTCTACCCGAGGCAAATCTTCTAAGCTACAGATCGACATTTCAAATTGACTTTAACCTCACATTCTCACAGCTCTCTTACTTCTACCTGAATGTCTCACAGGTGATTAAAAAAATAATAAAAATTAAAGTCCTCAAAGTAAGTACACACACACACACACACACACGTTGCTGCATTTCTTTACTTCTCTGCTAATGATTTAAGGTGCTTGATTACCTCAAATTGTCTGTATAATCAATATATTATATTTCTTTTCAGTCGTCCTTCATTTAATATTGTTATATGTTGCTGTTATGTGCCTTCGAGTTGAAAAAGGTAGAGATCCTATGAACAACGGGTCTGGATGTTGCCCTATCCATTGTCATCCTCACTGCTCTGACATGCTCAAGCCAATTGCTGAGTCACTGTGCCAGTTGGAGATTGAGTTCCTTCCTTCCTTCCTTCCTTCCTTCCTTCCTTCCTTCCTTCCTTCCTTCCTTCCTTCCTCTGCCTTTCCTAGCATGATGCCTTTTGCCAAATACTGGCCCCTCCTGACAACATGCCCAAAGCATGCAAGAAGAAGTTTCACTGTCTTTGCCTCCAAAGAGCCTCCTGGTTGCAGATCTTCTAAGACAGATTTGTTTTTTCTTTTGGCAGTCTACGGATATTCAAGACTGTTTTCTGACACAAGAATTTAAAGGCATCAATTCTTCTTTTGCTATCCTTATTTGAACATTACTGATCTAGATCTCTGATTATACATCATCTGCTCTGGAAAACCGTTCTGCACTATCCAAACATTAGCTTAGATATCTTCTTCTACACCATCCTTACACACTGTATTAACTCCTATTTAATACTTACCACACTGCATTATATTAATAAATTTGATGCTAACTCAGTCATAACTAAGAACAAGAAAATGATAAGAACTGATAATATGTTTATAGTTCAAAATCAGTCTATTAGTTGGACTAATCCACACTATAATTGACATTAGAAACTAAGAATATAGTCAAATTAGTGTAAGCATTTAGAGAATTAGAAGTGCAATTTATGTTCCGTGTTAAAGGAAGTAAAAGGCTATGGATCATCTCTGATGAAAAGAAAAATCTGAGGTATGTAACCTGAAATTTTTATGTGCTTCTAGTATATTTTTAAATATAGTTAAATAGAGGTTATGACTTAGTCCTGAACAATATTACTGTTTTGATATTGATAGTCTAAGAGCATTTTTTTAAGGAACAAGTCATAGAATTGAAGCAGAGGTGTTATACATTCTTTGTCTCCTCACTGTGTGTCCCCACTCACCAGGCTCAGCAGCCAGTGGTTGGCTATTAGTGGATTCTAGCACTCCATGAGCATGCACAGAGTAGGGGCGGCTGGCATTGTTCTTGAACACCACCGTTAGAATATCACCAACCTCTCCTCTGAGCAGTGGGCCTAATACAAAAAAGAAGGAAAAAATCCATTAAAAGAGGGATGGAACAACATACATTCACTAAAAGGATGAACGTAGAAGTACCCTAGAATTAGAGATTTACTTAACCATAGGGTCGCTATGAGTCGCAGGCGACTCGACGGCACATAACAACAACAACAACATAGGATGTGTGTATTCAAACAACACAATTGTGGCTCCGATTATTCTCACTGCTCCTTCCCCAAAACTCCTGCCACAATAGCCCCAGACTTTAGTGACTATAAGTTCTATGGAATCATTGACAGTAAGAAGTGAAAGTCTGGCCTAGAATCAGAGTAGCTGGAAAAAAACAAAAACAAAAACCAAACAAAGAGGATACTTATTGGTTTTTACTTTTGTAAAAACAAAACTTTAACAATAATTAAGCTCAGGTACAGGAATATTTGTTTCCCAAATAATTTACCCAGTTTGTTTTTTTTTATTTATTTTTTTTTTTTAAGTTAGAGAGCTCTGGTGGCTTAGTGAGTAATAAGAAGTTGCACTGGCAACCCAAAAGCATGTTGATCAAATCCACAAGTTGCCCCTCAGAAAAAATATGGGTAATCTCTTCCCTTGCCATTTACTGCCTCTGAAAACCCACGAGGGTCAGCTAAAGGTTTACAACACATACATATACACACACATAACAACAACATTGTTTAAGTTACAATTTCTTCTAGAATTTGTTCAAATTTATCATCTTCACAGATCTGTGAGTACAGATTCATAATATTGTTGCTTTCGTTATGTGCCATTGTTTTGCCTGTGACTCATAGTGACCCTATGTACGATAGTTCTGCAGCCTGCCCTGTCCTGAGCCAGTCTCACTGACTCTGACACACCTACCCCTATTGCTCTAATCACTGTATCAATCCATGTCATCCAGAGTCTTCCTCTCCTGTGCTGTCCCTCCACCTTTCCGAGCATGTTATCCTTTTCCAAGGATTGGTCCCTCCTGGCCACATACTCAAAGTATGTAAGACAGAGCTTCAAAAGAAAAACTTGGTTTCACTCTCTCCAAGACAGACCTATTTGTTTTCTTGGCGGTCCATGATATGTTGAATACTCGTTTTCACACCATAACTCAAAGGCATCAATTTTTCTTCTATCATTCTTAGTCATTATCCAGCTCTCTGACGCATAGCAAATAATTTCAAAGACCATGGTCTAGATCAGGTTCATCTTAGTCTCTAGATCATTGATTCTCAGTAGTCTAGAGAGGTCTCTGACAGCATATTTACCTAATGTAATTCATCTTTTGATTTCCTAACTGCTGGTGCCAAGATTGTTGATTGTGGAGCTGTGCAAGCTGTAACTATAAACATCCTCAATCTCTTCACCATTCATCATGGTGCTGTCAATTGGCCCAGTGGTGAGAATCTTTATCTTCTTGATGTTGAGCTTCATTCCATATTGAAGACTCCAGTCCTTAAACTTCTGCAGCAAGTGCTTCAGGTCCGCTTCAGTTTCAGTGAACAAGGTTGAGTCATCTGCATAATGTAGGTTGTTGATGAGTCTTCCTCCAATCCTGATGCCACATTCCTCCTCATAAAGCCCAGTCTTTTGGATGATGTGTTCTGCATATAGATTGAAAAGGTATGGAGTCAGGACACATACCTGACACACTCCTTCCCTCATTTTGAACCATGCAGTGTTTCCCTGCTCTATTCTGAGGACTAATTCCTGCTCCAAGTATAGGTTTCTCATAACCACAACCAAGTGTTCTAGGATTTCCATTTTCCTCAAGATTAACCACAATCTGTTGTGATTCATATAGTCAAAAGTCTTTGCATAGACAATGAAACTCAGATATATATCCCTCTGTTATGCTTTGCTTCCTGCCAAGATCCATCTGACATTAGTGATAATCTCTTTTAAATCCAGTTTGTATTTCTGGTAGTTCTCTGTCAATGTACTGTTCCATTTGTTTCTGGAAAATTTTCAACAGGATTTTGCTTGCATATGATATGAGTGATATTGTACAATAATTTCCATCCTCTGTTGGGTAACCTTTTTTTGGAATGGGGATAAATATAGATCTCTTCCAGGCAGTTGTTCAGGTAATTGTCCTCTGGATTTCTTGGCACAACCTGGTGAGGATGTCCAGGAAAGCATCTCTGTTGAAATATGTCAATTGTTATCCCATCAATTCCTGGGACTTTATTTTTTTGCCAAGTCCTTCAGAGGAGACCGAACTTCCTCCTTCCTCACCATTGCCTCTTGCTCACTTGTTGTTTCTTGAAATTCTTCTGTGTCAGCCGATTTATTTTGGTACAGTGATTCTGTATGCTCCTTCTTTCTTCTTTCAATACTTCCTGGATCATTCAATATTTTACCCATTGTTGTTGTTGTTACGTGCCGTCGAGTCGTTTGCGACTCATAGCGACCCTATGTACAACAGCCCTAAACCCTGCTCTATCCTGTGCCAATCTCATTGCCCCCGACACACCCATCCCGAGTACCCCAGTCACTGAATCAATCCCCTCCTGCACTGTCCCCCTACTCTACCCAGCATGATTTCCCTCTCTAAAGACCTGTCTCTCCTTACAACATGTCCAAAGTATGTCAGACGAAGCCCCAGAATCCTTGCCTCCAAGGAGCAGCCTGGTTTAATCCTCTCTACGATGAATCTGTTTGTTTTCTTGGCAGTCCATGGTACATTCAATACTCTTCTCTAGCACCACAGCTCAAAGTCGTCAATTCTCCTTCTATCCTCCCTAGTCATTGTCCAACTCTCTGATGCATAACAAGTGATTGCAAAAACCATGGCCTGTATCAGGTGGACCTTAGTCTCCAGAGAGACACTGTTGCTCTTCAGTATTTTGGAGAGGTCCCTAACTGCAGACTTTCCCATCGCAATACGTTTTTTGATTTCCTGGCTATTGGTGCCAAGAGTGTTGACCGTGGAGCCGAGCAAACTAAAGCTGTGAACAATCTCAATCTCTTCGCCATCCATCCTGATGCTATCGATTGGTCCAGTGGTGAGAATTTTTGTCTTCTTGACATTGAGCCTCAGTCCATATTGAAGGCTTCAGTCCTTGACCCTCTGCAGAAAGTGCATGAGGTCCTCCTCAGTTTCAGCGAGCAAGGTTGTGTCATCTGCATAACACAGATTGTTGATAGATTGTCCACTAATCCTAATGCCACGCTTCTCCTCATAGAGCCCAGCCTCTCAGATAATCTGCTCTGCATACAGGTTGAAAAGGTATGGAGATAGGACACGTCCCTGGTGTGCACCCTTCTCAATTTTGAACCATGCAGTGTTGCCCTGCTCGGTTCTGACGACTGCCTCTTGGTCCAAGTATAGGTTTCGCATTAGCACGATTAAATGTTCTGGGATTCCCATTCTTCTCAGAGTCAGCCACAGTTTGTTATGATCCACGCAGTCAAATGCCTTTGCATAATCAATGAAACACAGATAGACATTCTTCTGGTATTCTCTGCTTTTAGCTAAGATCCATCTAACATCAGCTACAATATCCCTAGTACCACGACCCCTTCTAAACCCAGCCTGGACTTCTGGCAGTTCTCTGCTGATGTACTGTTCCAGTCGTTTTTGGATAATCTTCAGTAAAATCTTGCTTGCATGTGAAATCAATGATATTGTTCTGTAGTTTCCACACTCAGTTGGGTCACCCTTCTTTGGGATGGGAACAAATATTGACCTCTTCCAGTCAGTTGGCCAAGTGGTTGTTCTCCAGATTTCTTGGCACAACTTGGTGAGCACATCCACGGCAGCATCTGTTACCCATAGCATCCTTAAATACTGACTTAAGGCTTGAGTCTGTTCTTTAGTGCCTTCATTTTAAGAAATTTCAAGCAAGTATGATCGTTTTGATTTTTCAGACTCCAGTTCTTTGCACATTTCATTATAATATTTTGCTGTGCCTTCCTGTGCTGCCCTTTGCTTTGGCTTCTCAATGCTCTAATGCAATATTCAGAGTCTATTCTGACATCAGTTTTCATAAACTCTTTGAATTATGTCGTCCTTTTCACTTTTAGTCCATGGAACATATGTCAGTACTTTTTTTAATAGCTCCATTATAAAATACAACTACAGATTCACTTACATCTCAAGGGGAAAACTGAGAATTTAGAGTGCAAAGTCTTGATATAGCATATATCAAGCTTCTAGACACAAAGAAAGGGAGTGGAATTTCCTTACCCATAATTCCCAAGTGCTCTTCTTGTTCAGTCCTTGTGCGAGGAATCTTGAATGTACCATCAGTGTATTCCCTAAATACAGATTTCTTGTATCTGGAACCCAGAAGCCCATCTTTGTTGCTCAGGAAGATGTGACTATAACTAGAGAAATAAAAAAATTCTATCAGTATTTGACTCTCAGCCCCTCATTTTAAGATATGAGGACGCTAAATCTGAATAGGCATAGATAGACTCCCCAGGCTACCTGTGAAATTAATTAAGATGAGAAGTTTTAGTATCTATTAATATTTCTTTGCTTGACTATCCTTCACTTAGAAGTTTGTAGTACCTTTAATATAGTAAGAGAAGTAAACCAATAATTAGGAGTCCTGGGCTCCAGCCTAAAGAGCATCTTAGATGGAATTCGTTTGACAAAAGGACAAAATAGAAGGTGGCTGGAGAGTGCTATTTCTATTCAGTGGGTTGGGAAAAAGTAGAGAGGAAATTAAGCTTTACAGATTTTTCCTTATATGATGCTTTCTAGTTTATAAAAAGACCTATTATTCAGTCTACCATTTGACATTCCCAACAGAACGATGGACTAGATAGTTTTCAGAAGGGGAATTAGCAGCCCAGAGGTAAAAGGAGTTGTCTACAGTGACACTGTCAGCCAGCAAGAGAGTTTGGGATTCAAATGTAAGCCTATTGCTCTTCTTGCCCACCTCCTGCAGTCAGATACTTTAAACTACACAACATAATTTTATAGATGAGTAAAACAAGATCCAGAAAAAGGAAGTACAATTTCTCAGGTCTCAGAATAAGTTAACAAGAAAGTTTCAGCTTTCAACAACCAATATATAGGACAAAAAATTGGAAAATGACAATGAGAGAACTGGAATAAAATTTTTAATAGAGACAACTGTGCTGTACCTGTTTCCATTCTTCCTTCCTTCCTTCCTTCCTTCCTTCCTTCCTTCCTTCCTTCCTTCCTTCCTTCCTTCCTTCCTTTTCCTTATTTCCTTGTTAACTACTAGAGTAACTTTTATTTTATCTAAGCATTTGGATAATTTAAAAGTTTTACAGCTTATCTTGAAGCTAGCCATCGTCATGTGACTAAGTCCAGCCTAATAAGGAGCCTTAGTGGTAAGGAGTTGTACTGTCAATTCAAAGGTATATTGTTCGAATCCACCAGCTGCTCCATGGGAGAAATATGGGCAATCCCCTTTCATGCAGTTTACATTCTCTGAATATCGGTTGGAGGGTCAGCTATGAGTGGATTCTGACTCAATGGTACATAAAAATAGTGATAAAAGTGCATGAGATAAATTGATGGATACAATTTCCAAGTAATCTTCTTACATACAGAGGCAATGCCCTGGGATATGTTCCTCTTCTTTCTAGTTGAGAATGGATGCAAGAGGAAGATACATTTTGATCCCCAATGTTAAAGCAAATATTAAGAGTAGTGACATAGTTCATCTATCAACTGTACTGTTAAGAAATGTGCTGAGCAAGAAATAAAATTCAATCTTATTTGTTGTTGTTATTGTTTTGTGCTGTCGAGTCGTTTTCGACTCATAGCGACCCTATGTACAACAGCCCTAAACCCTGCTCTATCC